GAAGGGGGCGCTCGGGGGTTGGGGGGGGGGAGAGCTGGAGGCCGAGCCCACGGCTGAGATTGCGGGCGGGGGGTGGTGAGGACAAGGCGTGCAGACTCCCAATGGGACCGTGCGGTTTAAAGAAATCTAAGGAAGGGGTTTCCCCCCCCCGCGTAATTCCGACTTGGGCTTTGCTGGCTGGAAAAGGAGGGGGACTCAGGGTTTCTAGGACCTCAAACAGGTCTAGCAACGTAATAAGTCCGTGTATCATTTTTAGTTATGTTGTTCTTTTAAGCGTGTTGGCACTTGCATGCTCGACAACTGTTGTTTAGTGTGTGTGCGTGCTATAGATAGATTAAGTTTTCTTAGTCTTTTTCTTTACTAGACCATTGAACGCAAACTACTCTAGATGGATATTAATGGATCCCTAGAACTGGCGTGAATTAGCATTGTTTACGATTCATTTAATGGATGGACAGCATCTTGCATATCAATACAAAGGAAAATTAGGCAAGCCAGTTCCTGCTCTGAGGTTTAGAAAGAGGTCGAAAAAAAGGAGGGGGGAAGGAGGAAAGAAAGAGAGGCAAACGGGGTGATGATGCTCTTGTTAAAAGATTCATGTAAGGAATTGATGTAATGACTTGAGGTAATCTTATCTTTTAAGTTGTTTTGCAAAAATTGCTTTGAAATATATGGCATAAATACATTTGGCTGGATGAGAGCGTCACTGTACCTTCCCTGGCCTTTGGTTGCTGCCCACGGTCTCTGATGTAGCAGGCCCTACTCAGTTATTTCTAAAGATGCACATGTTTCTAAGAGTGTCTGTACGACCTAGGAAAAGGCAATAATAAAGGAAACATGGAAAGCAGACAGAAAAGAGGAAGACCAAGTATGAGATGGATCAACACAATAAAGGAAGCCACAACTTTGGGTTTGCAAAAGCTGAGCACGGCTGTTAATAGTACGATCTTTTGGAAGTGACTGAAATATAGGTTTACCACAAATGACCTGCAACCTTGCAGTCCGCTTGTGATCACTGGTTTCAGGTAAAATCTACATTGCCCGAGATGAAACCTGCCGACTTGACAGGGCTGTGACATCCATGTTGGAGCTTGTTTTAAGCAAAGAGCCTGACCCATATATCTGGATGTGATTTGGGAAACTTTTGTACAAGTTCTAGCCTAAGAAAGAGTCCTCCAGAGCATGAAAGCCAGTGCCTCTTTCTGAGATGTTAGTCACCCAGTAAAGGTATTGCCCATACATATTTTCCAGTTGTGTATAAGGACGACAAAGCTGAACAAGTGTCCCCCTCCTTACCCCACACAAAGAGTGCGTATCAACACTGCACAGTTCTAGAAGTTTGGTACCACTTGAACAGGCAGGGCTGCATCCTATGGGCTCCTGGGATTGATGGTTGGTGAGGGACTTAAAATTATCTGCCATAGATCTTACTTGAGCACGCATAAAGGAACAGCGTCTCCACAATATCTGAGTCGTCATCAGTAGTTTAGTCTGTTCAGGACACACCACATGATGTACACAGGACAAATCTCCAGCGGAGGCTTAGAAGGAACTGCAGGGACCTGTTGCTGCCAGCTAACCAGCATCTCCTGCCTGGGGCAATTGCTTCAAGCTGTCTAATGGCAGGGCTGGCCCCAACTGCAGCCTATGGGAGTTATATCTGGCCACATTCACACACTGAACAATTTGGGATGAGGGTATCTGATGGATGACATGCTTTCAAGTGAACCTACATTTATTTTTTTAAACATTATTGAAATCTCATTTATTGGAACCCACCAAGGCTGTCACTGCACATGGGGACAGCAGCCCTGAAATTAAAAGACGCCTGCTTCTTGGGAGGAGAGCGATGACAAACCTCGACAGCATCTTAAAAAGCATAGACATCACCTTGCCGACAAAGGTCCGCATAGTCAAAGCTATGGTTTTTCCAGTAGTGATGTATGGATGTGAGAGCTGGACCATAAAGAAAGCAGACCGCCGAAGAATTGATGCCTTTGAATTGTGGTGCTGGAGGAGGCTCTTGAGAGTCCCCTGGACTGCAAGGAGAACAAACCTATCTAGTCTGAAGGAAATCAACCCTGAGTGCTCACTGGAAGGACAGATGCTGAAGCTGAGGCTCCAGTACTTTGGCTATCTCATGAGAAGAGAAGACTCCTTGGAAAAGACCCTGATGTTGGGAAAGTGTGAAGGCAAGAGGAGAAGGGGAAGGCAGAGGACAAGATGGTTAGACAGTGTCATGGAAGCGACCTACATGAATTTGACCCAACTCCGGGAGGCGGTGAAAGACAGGAGGGCCTGGCGTGCTCTGGTCCATGGGGTCACGAAGAGTCAGACATGACTTAACAACTAAACAACAACAACAAAGGCTGTAATGTTGTTTCCAAATGTCTGTTTGACACTGGGACTAGGAAGAAGGCTTTTTGAGTTTCAGAGCTGTGAATTTGGAATGGCTTATAATATAAATAATAATCCTGGACCTGCAGCGCTGGAAAGGTCCCGATGGATCATCAAGTCCAACTCCTCTCAGGGAGGCACAGTGGGGAATCGAACTCTCAACTTCTGGCTCCACAGGCAGATGCCTGAGCCGCTGAAACCCCCTGCAGTTCTTACTTAGGAAGTTTTGTTTTGGCTGTTTTTCTTGGCTTCCCGCTTCAACATTCATATCTTCCTATTTCAGAAGGCCTTTCTTGGAGGAAGATCTTGCTTGCTTGCTTGCTTGCTGTAACTTCATGTAATCCATCTGTTTGTTTGGCTTTTAATTTTGGCTGTTTATTGGGTTTTCTATTGTCTTCTATTACTGTTGATTTTAAATTGTTATACACCCTGGCTGAATATATTTGTTGTTCTTTCCAGGTGTTGTAGGGTTTTCTCTGTAAGCTGTCTCAAATTTACAATGAAGGTTATTGTATAAGTCTGTTTAAGATCAACAGAATAACACCGTGTTGTTGTATTTTCTTGAGGAAACTGCTATGGAATATCAACCTAGATCTTTTGTGGGTCAGCTGAAAACAATGGGACAAGACATCAGTGGTGTTAACCAAGAAAATACGTGAATGTGGCCGTTTAGGATTTACGAAGTCCAGCCACTGTACAGAAGAAAACAAAAGAAGGATCATGGCTAGTTTTAGTCAAAGGCAGGAGGAGGTTAGCTCCTCTTACATTCACTATACACATGTGAATAGTGTTGTTGTTATTTATCATAGAATCGTGAAGTAGGAAGGGGCCCATAAGGCCATCAAGTCCAACCCCCTGCTCGATGAAGGAATACAAATCAAAGGATATCTGCCACGTGGTTGTCTAAGTTTCTCTTGAATGACTCCGGCGCTGGAGTGCTCACCACCTCTCGAGGTAATTGGCTCCACTGTTTTGTGCTATCGATATTTCAGAGTTGCATTCGTATCCTGCTCTGAAGGAAAGTCAGTGCAGAAGATCTTTACGGGCTGCAGTTGTGTTGGTCCGTTGCAGCAAAACCAGCACAGAATCTTGTGGCATCTTAAAGACTACACATTTTATTTGGCGCCATCCTTTACGGCCTACTGTAGGCTATTTCATCAGACACAGGACCAATTGCATTTGAACGAACTGCCTGCCTGGTAAAATTTGGTAATTTTTTAAAGGTGCCCCAAGAACTGAAAGTGAATAAATGCCCGCATTTGCCCAATCTGGTGCTCTCCACGTATTTTGGACTCCAACGCCCATGAGCCCCAGCTAAAGTATGCAGTGATTGGGAATCATAGGAGTTGTTCAGAACAAGGGGAGGCGGGGTGTCATTCTTATTAGTATGTGTGGTAATAGAGTTGGCAGGCCTAAAGCTTGAGAGCTCTACTTATGCTGCCGTGAAAGAGAGGTAAAATATAAATTATACAAAAACATTAACCAAGGGCAGGTTGTTGCTCAAGATGCTTGGCGCCCTGTAGGCACCGGCAGGTGAGCTAGTAAATTAATTGTAAATCATCTGCAAGAGCTGAGTTAAAATATATTTGCCATGGGCCGTGTGGAACGCTGTATCAGACGTTCAGTTTTATGCCTGATGCCCCAAGAGACCACCGTGGTGATATGCATGACAACTTCTGAAATTAAAAATGGCCCTGTGTCATAAATAAATAAAACTTCTCATTTGCCAGCTAGAATTCTACTCTCCTTAGGGAATTATGAAACCTTTAAATGAATGCCGCAGGGTTGGTTTCTTTTAGTTTGAAAGTGAGACTTGCCTTAAGGAAGAGGTATCAGGTAGAAATTCTGTTAATTGTCCAGCTCACAGCTTGACCTTGTGCAGAATTAGGCGTATCTAGTAAGTCAGTGGCCTTAGCCATTGTGAAAACTGTTGTTGCTGATTTTAGAACTCACTATGGGGAACATGAGTATCATAATATGGAAGAGATAGAAAGACAAGTGTCGTTTCTTTACGCTCTGCCCTTGGCAGCACTGCAGCTAGTGACTCCAGTTTCAAGGAGGTGCTGAATCTGCTCCGGGTTTTGATCTGTACTTTACTCGATATATCTAACGTGTTCAACTCAAAATAGGTCCAGCACCTTAGAGGCGTCTTGTAAAGCCCAGAGTAAAACTCAAAAATGGATTCATAGTGTCCCTGAAATTGGAGTCAC